AAGATGTTGAGTGAGAGCCCTGCTGCCACTCTGACCTGTTCGCGGGTATCTCGATCTTGAGCTGCGCCGGTTCTTGTTTGCCATTGATCACTGGCCGGTCACTCATTGAAGTCTGATCGAAAGCTTAGCTCAGGATATCGTAGCAGTGATAAAAGTGCGTTTTTACATCTTCATCGAGTTCAATCCCTGAGAGTTGTCAGCAAAAAGTCTCCATTGTGCCCCATGGCTCTGCCTACCAAATTCAAAACAAAGCTCGTCGAACTCTTCTGTGGTGTAACTAGAAATATATTGTATCAGCATCCAGGTGTACAGTCAATTAGTTGACTGAGGTGATTTACCTACTCTTGACCAAGAGCTTCGAAGAGCGCTGCCTTGTCGACAGCTATGGTAGGCATATTGGCGCTACCTGGAAGAAACCGAAGCCTCAACAGTGAATAGGTACTTATGCGGCAGCTCTTGGATTATGCAGCGGGCTCTTCTTGTTGAGCTTGAGTCATGGCCGTGCACAAAAGTCCAGACACTACCTACGGGTAAACGAAATCCATTTGGCGGTAGGGCTGGAATTGCTTGGCGGCAAAGCCTCGTTCACAACATCCAGATTCTGTGCTCAGGGCCAGAACAAGCACAAGCACAAGCCCATGAATAAACACGCTGCAGACAACATTTCCTACACCAATTGCCTGCGACCTGAACTGAAGCTTGGGTATGATACAAGCTCTCAATCCAAAAGGTCAGCGCGAACTCTTTGATCTTGCAGAGCATATACATCGCCCAAGTCTTTTCGACGAACAAGTCCATTCATGAGCTTCCGAATGGGAACAGAGCTAAGCCAGAGCTGACGCTGCGTCCCATGTCCCTAGAATCGTTTTTAATGCCTACACCTAGCAGCAAGTAATCCCATATTCGATAGCCCGAGCAATCACCAGATTGACACGACCTGTCACGAAGACTCGGCCACCCCACTCAGCGATCAGGACTGTAGATCGGGTTATACAACAGTATGGAGGACCAAGGGCAGAACGATCCTCTCTTTCCAATCGCAGTTTTGATCGATGAGCTTAAGGTAAATCGTCTACCTACTACATCTCTTGTCATGGCACCTAAACGTATAACCGTCACCAGCACGACGATGTTCTTCTCCGTCTCAACGCCATACACCGGCTCTCAACCATAGCTCTAGCTCTAGGCGCCGAACGCACAAGAGATGAGCTCATACCATTCCTTGACGGTCAGTGTCCTTAGAGGTTGAGACCGTCGCTCTCACCCAACGCCTTACTGACTTTGCTATAGAATCGGTAGAGGACGAAGACGAGGTCCTTACAGCGCTGAGTGAAGAGCTCGGAGGTTTTGTGGAATACGTTGGCGGTCCAGAATATGGGCACGTGCTCCTATCACCTTTAGAGAACCTCGCCGCAATCGAAGAGCCTCTGGTGCGAGAAAAAGCTGTCGAATCTCTCAACAAGATATGTAAAGAGCTCTCACAGTCCCAAGTTGAAGACCACTTCATTCCTCTCACTGTGCGCCTCTCGAAAGCCGACTGGTTCACCTCAAAGATCTCGGCAACTGGACTTTATAATGTTCCCTACAGCAAAGCAACACCGCCGTCTCAGGAAGGACTTCGCCAGCAATATGGACAGCTGGTACATGATGAAACTCCTATGGTTCGACGGCAGGCCGCGAACAATCTCGCGAAGTTCGTAAAGGAGATGTCACCACAGATAGTCATTGAAGAGATGATACCCCTATTTCAGCATTTGGCCGGTGATGATCAGGATAGCGTTCGGTTGTTGACAGTGGAAATATTGATTTCGATTGCGGAAGTTATACCCAAGGAGCAACAGACGAGTCATGGAACACTTCTAACAGCTTTACGGAGTCTATTTGAGGACAAGAGCTGGAGAGTGCGATACATGGTCGCAGACCGCTTTGAGAAGGTATCAATCATTGATGCCCAAGATGTGAAAGAGAAGGCTGACTTTGACTCGCCACAGATTGCAAAAGCTGTAGATGAAGAAACCGTGACCCGCGATTTGGTCCCTGCATTCGTAAAGCTCCTCAAAGATACCGAAGCTGAGGTCCGCACTGCTATTGCTGGGCAGATTCCAGGTCAATGAATCGATGTTCTATGCCCCGGATATGACGTGCTAATGCGGCCCAGGCTTCTGTCGATTACTTGATCGAGAGACGCTGCTTAACGAAATAATGACTAGCATCGAAGACTTGGTGTCAGACACCTCGCAACATGTACGTGCGGCATTAGGAACGCAGATTAGTGGTTTGGCCCCTATCTTGGGCAAGGAAGAGTAAGCAATCTGTGGATGGCGCCTTCAAATCATAATTGACAAACCTTAAGGACCATTGCACATCTTCTGCCAATGTTTTTGCAAATGCTGAAAGATGAATTCCCTGACGTTCGCCTTCACATAATCTCGAAGCTCGAGCTAGTCAACAAAGGTCTGTCTTCTGTTACCGACCAGTATCTATTACTGGTGCTGATATTTTCTAGTCATCGGTATTGAGCTTCTGTCTCAGTCACTACTTCCGGCCATTGTACAATTAGCCGAAGACAAGCAATGGCGCGTTCGCTTAGCCATTATTGAGTACATCCCATTGCTCGCAGGCCAACTCGGACAGGATTTCTTCGACGATAAGCTGAGCACGCTTTGCATGAGCTGGCTGGGTGACACTGTTTTCTCGATACGGGAAGCAGCTACCAAAAACCTGAAGAAGCTGACTGAAGTCTTCGGAGTTGGGTGGGCGAGCAACGCCATTATCCCAAAGGTCATCGTGATGGGCAAACATCCGAATTATCTCTACCGAATGACCACATGCTTCGCCATCTCGGTATGCATACCTTAAAAACATCTCACTCTCGATCAATGCGGCTAACCTCTTCTATATAGACACTCGCACCAGCTATAGATCTAGAGGTCATCGAAAAGTCCATTCTGCCAATGATGGACAAACTCGTATCCGACGACATTCCAAACATCCGCTTTAATGTCGCCAAATCCTACACGGTCCTCATCGACGTCCTTAAGCATTTGCCCGCCCATGGTACTATCTTCGATCTCGAAAAGTCAGGTCAGACGCTACAACCCTCTTCCGCCGGTCAACATCTTATCCAGCAGCAAATCTTACCGAATCTGGAGAAATTACAACAAGACGAGGACGTGGATGTGAGATATTTTGCGACGACTGCGGCAGGGAGCGTGGGTGATGCTATGGCAACGTCACCTTAGTTAAGGAATGCGAGGTAGCTTGTTTTTCAGGGCAGGCAGGGTTCTTTAGACGCATTGAGGAGATACCTACATAAAATATTGATCGGATTGTTCTGTGCACCGTGATTTGTGCACTTGCAAGGGTGTTTTACCCGTGAGAATAATTGCACTGACTGCTTGACCATAAAAGTGGCCATTTTACGGGATGTTTACCGTTGCATTTACATGTTGCAATCCATCACGAGGGGCATACTGTTTTTCACTATTTCCAGCGTTGATGGGCTAGCTTCTTCTGTGGCTGTTTTGCCTTGAACACCCAAGTACTCTACTAGCATATTACTACCAGAAGCTCGGCCTTAATGCGCCTTCTCTTGCGCATTTACCAAGGCTTTGAAATGTTCGAATGGGTCTTTACTCTTCAAAATCCCTTTTCGTTGATGCAGCTCTATGACAGTGGCAACAGCAATTGAATATTGGTTCCAGCATTCAACTCTGACGGTAACATACCAGCATGCTAAGGTACAAGACCACGACTTCTCCATCTGCTCCTCTACTCCTGACCATAGTCTTCCTTCCCCTCTTCTGTTCCCTGCTCCTGCTGCTCCTGCATCCTCTGCTGCTCCGCTGCCTGTTGCGCTGCAACTGCCTTCGCACCATAGTCCTGGCTCATGGGCTGCACAACCGTCTGTTCTTCCTTTGGCTCGATGATAGTGACGGAGTCTGGCAGGGACTTCTGAGGACCAGACTTGCCTTCGGGATCGGATCCCCGCATGATCTTGACCTTGATACCCAACACACCTTGGCGGAGAAGAACGTGGCGAGTAGCAGAATCGATGAAGTCTTTGGCAGGTTGACCGGAGTGGATCATGAAGCCATCCTATCCTCCCATTAGCATGATTCCTCGTCACCATACAAGACAAAGCATACTGTAAACTTCATGCTCTTAGCCCTGGCAGCCCTCAGCTTCCCCGAAACCACGACCTCACAACCCTTCGCTCCACTCTCCATGATGAACCGCAGCACACCATAGCAAGCTCTCCTCACAGCCAATCCATTGAGCAACTTGTAACGGAGAGATTCGCACTGAGCGACAGCGGAAAGACCACGATTTTGAACCTTGGCGGCGTAGAGGGAGACAGAGTTCTCAGGGAACTTGAAGCGTTTTTGGATAAGAGAGGTCAGTTCGCGGATGCGGCGCCCTTGCTCGCCGAGGACTTCTTGGGTGTGTGTTGCGCGGATGACTATAACTTGGTCAGAAGGAGAGTGGAAAGGCAAGGGACGGGGACAAGGGCGTACTGATGTCAGTCACAGTAGGCGTGACGCGAACCTCGACACCAGAGTATCCTTCCTCTGCCAGCTCACGCTGGAAGAATTCGTTCAATTCGGCGTAGAAAACACCATCTGCCACGAACTTCCTACGCTTGGAAACAGAGGCCCCTGGTACAGAAGTCATGATTGCGGTGCTGTCGGAAAGTTGAGGTTGACCGAGGACGCTGTCGTTGAAGTGTATCGAAATTGTTAGTGGGGTTGCCGTTGTGGAAACTCTCGCTTGGGAGCCAAGCCGCCGCTAAGAACTTCCCTTTTTAAGACCAAGGCTCAAAGGGAAAGGGAATCGCGAACTACGTATGGAATACTTATAATTCGTTTGAAGCCGGCTATTTGAATCAGAGGTTCTTTGTCTTAAGTCTCTCCTTTTCCCAACATTCTAATTGGTGCAGTAAACTTCTCCAATCCCACAAGCTCCACTGTACTATAATGGACAGGCAACCTTAGGTTGAGATGGAGAGAACGCGAATTGCGAAGGTGGCCTTCAGCTTTATAACCTTGCTGGAGACAAAGCTTACCATCTCCAGGTAGACGACGTCAGACTCGTCCGCAGGGGCGAGCAAGTTGAAGGGAATCTACATCTGACACCCCACCACCTCATCTTCTCGCATACGCCTCCTACCGCAGAGGAAGCTAACGCTAGACCTCGAGAACTATGGATCACATATCCAATCATCCATACATGTACTCTACGCCCAGCTCCACCAGCATCCCATCTACCATCTTCGATACGGCTACGATGTAGGGACTTGACTTTTGTCTGCTTCTGCTTCGCAGATGAGAAGAAGGCACGAGACGTATATGATAGCATCAAGGCGTGGACGTGCAAACTGGGAAGGATAGAAAAGTTGTACGCATTCAGCTACCAGCCGCAGCGGCCAGAGAAGGAGGTTAATGGGTGGAATGTGTACGACGCAAGAAGGGAATGGAGAAGATTAGGTGTCAGTGAGAAGAGTACGGATAAAGGGTGGAGGATATCGAACATCAATACAGATTACGCGGTATGTTGGTAGTATCTGGGGAACCCTGAGCCGAGTCTCACAACTGTCTAGTTCTCATCAACATATCCTGCTCTTCTCGCTGTGCCGACATCAATCTCCGACAATACCCTCAATTACGCAGGCAGATATCGCTCGCGTGTACGTCTACCTGTATTAACATACCTACATCCAGTCAACAATTGCTCCATCACAAGATGTGCTCAGCCGCTGGTGGGAGTTCGAGGGAACCGAAGCATCCAAGATGAGAAGCTTTTGCTTGCGATATTCTCCACTTCGCATTCAGATCCCAATTCTTCAGAGCCGCCTTCCAGACCTCGGAGTCCTCAGTCTCTTCGATCGAGCGAAGGTGACATTGGATCACAAGGGTCGGACCCTCCTCCCACAGATCCCGAAACGCTGGAAGATCAGATGATAAATCGGACAGCAAGCGAGGACAAGGATGAGCCAAAAGTGTACGGAGCGCAGCAGCATAATCTTATAGTCGACGCTCGGCCCACTGTGAACGCTTTGGCGATGCAAGCTGTAGGATTAGGCTCGGAAAACATGGACAATTACCGCTTCGCAACGAAGATCTATTTGGGAATTGACAACATTCACGTTATGAGAGACTCGCTGAACAAGGTTGTCGATACACTGAAGGAGTCGGACGTGACGCCCTTGGCACCAAATCGAGAAGCCCTGGCGAAAAGCCATTGGCTTAAGCATATCGGCGGTCTACTTGATGGGGCGGGAATTATTGCTAGACAGGTGGCTCTTCAACATTCGCACGTCCTCATACACTGCTCCGATGGATGGGATCGAACAAGCCAGCTCAGTGCTCTAGGTCAGCTCTGTCTTGATCCTTACTACCGTACTCTCGAAGGCTTCATCGTTCTTGTAGAGAAGGACTGGTTATCATTCGGTCACCAATTCAATCATCGATCTGGGTTCCTGTCGAGCGAAAAATGGTTTCACATCGAGAATGAACGAGTAGGCGGAGATAGCAACAAGCAGCCGAGCTTAGTCGGACACAACAGCGGCGCGGGTCAGGCTCTGGAGAATGCCTTGTTGAGCGCCAAAGGTTTCTTCAACAAGGACAACAAGAGCAAAGACTCTATCGTCGATTCAGATGGCGAAATGCAGCCATACGACGTGTCTCCGACCTCTAAGAGAAGCGCTGCTCCAGGCAAAGGAAGTGGAAGCGACAAAAGCACCACTAAGGTCAAAGAGACTAGCCCAGTCTTCCACCAATTCCTTGACGCTACTTACCAACTGCTCCACCGCCATCCTACTCGGTTCGAGTTCAATGAACGCTTTCTCCGTCGCTTGCTTTACCACCTTTATTCTTGCCAATATGGCACTTTCCTGTACAACAATGAGAAAGAGCGTGTTGACGCCCGTGTCAGTGAGAAGACCCGAAGCGTTTGGGACTATTTTTTATCCCGAAAAGAACAATTCATAAACGAAATATACGATGCAACGATTGACGATAATGTCCGAGGTCAAGAACGACTGGTTCTGCCAGGGACTGGTGAGCTTAGATGGTGGCATGAACTATTTGGCCGGACTGATGCTGAAATGAATGGTCCTACGAGGACCACGAGAAACCGCGCTCAGGGTGACATCCTTGTCGATCCCACAGTGCTCACTGGGATTGAAACAGCTGATAATTCTGTGGGGGCCGGAGCACCAGGGAGAGCATTACCAAATGAAGATGCTTCCTCTTTGTCAGTCTTGGCTGCTGGACTTGGAGGGTTGGGCATAAGCAAGAGCAGAGGGAATGAGCCATCGAGCCTGAAGCGCGAGATGGAAGTTGAGATGCAGTGATGGCTCTCGCAAGTCGCAACTCAACGAGACTATGGTATTCCGAAGCATTTTAGCATTCATAGCGTGCCACTTTACTTCTACGTTGGGATCCCCAATTTAACCAAATGACCAGAATTGAAAATGTGCTTTCCAAGTCAATCGTGATGCCGTAAGGAGAGAGTGAGCGGCCCCTTGAAGGCTCGTTGTATCATTAAACACTAGCGGTAATTTTACTCGAAATTTTAGCGAGCTTGGCGCACACGACAATTCAGAACTCGTGCTTGCTCAAGCATGAACTCAACTACTTTTCTTCTCAAACCATTACGCTCTTTGAGGATCTCCGACAATTCAAACTGAACAAGAACACTCAGTCAAGATGGTACACCTTCCTCCATCCTTCCTTGCATCATGGGGAGAATGATGTGTGTGACGTACAATGGCACAAACCCGTAGCTAACTCCTCCTCACCCTTCCAGTCGGACGGAGAAGAGCCCACCTCGCCCACCCCGGCCGAAGACCCCGAGACCGTCGATGTCGCCGCCGACGCGCCTGCCGCCGGTGGCAGCTCTCAGATGGTGAGTTCCGACTTCCCCAATCATCCTCTCCTACTGGACACCCGAAACCAACTTCGCCCTTCCTTCCCTTCCCTTCCCTTCCCTCCCTCCACCCCGTCACGTCCCAACTACCCACCTCCAATCCCGCCCCGAAAGAAATCCTCCAAACTAACCCCCAAACCCAACCCCGCAGACCACCCTCGAAGCCCTCAAAGGCGCCCTGAAGCTCGCCCTCATCCACGACGGCCTCGCCCGCGGCCTCCGCGAAGCCTCCAAAGCGCTCGACCGGCGCCAGGCGCACATGTGCGTGCTGAACGAAGGGTGCGAGGAGGAGGCCTACAAGAAGCTGGTGGTGGCGCTGTGCGGGGAGCACGGGATCCCGCTGATCAAGGTGCCCGACGGGAAGATGTTGGGGGAGTGGGCCGGCTTGTGTGAGTGGTCTTCCCGCTGTCTCTTGGCTCCGTGACGAAAAAATGGGGCATCGAGGCTGATTGCGGTTCGGGGGGGAACACAGGCGTGCTCGACCGCGAAGGCAACGCCCGGAAAGTCGTCAATTGCTCTTGCGTCGTGGTGCGGGATTGGGGCGAGGAGAGTCAGGAGCGGTCCATCTTGATCAATTACTTCGCGACCGAGCAATAGAGAGGCATCCATAGACTCTTTGACGGTTGGTTGGTTGGTTGGTTGATTGGTCATCGAAGGAGATAAAAGGCCAGTCGCCAATGGAGATGGTCTGAGATGGAGACAAATCTGGTGGATGGGTTGAAGTGGTTGAGAAAAAAAAATGCAAAGTCTTTGAGATTTGAGATTTGAAGGAGGTTTTTCTAGATCATTTCTCTTCTTCGATGATGCTTTACCGAGGCTGCCTGCATAGATGGCAAGTAAAATGGACTTTGTATTCTACTTTCTTGAAATACAGCTCGCTGTAGCCTGAGGTCATTTTACAGATCATGCGTCTGGCTTTGCGCTTACACCTACAGATGGACCTAGTTTGACATGACCTAGTTACTCTTCACTGATTATGAAAGAACAAGGCTTCTTCTAATGGGAAAGCAAGTCATCATGGCAATCGTCAATTACCGGCATTGGATTCGAGAGAGCTTCAGAAAGCATGGCTAAGGTATAGAGCAATATGTACAGCACTCGTGCCCGAGCTCAAGCGAGAGCATGATGTACATAAACGATACGGTATCACAGGAGCCACAGCCATCCAACGCTGACACGTACGTCATAACCAGCAACGCAAGCGTAGTACCAGCGTAGCATTCCCCATACCATCATTTCACGCCTCATCCATCCTCACCGATACCTCTTCCTCAGCGATGCCCGTTCGTCATATTTCCGTTCATAATCGGACTCGCCGCCGCTTCCTGCTTCACAACCTCTTCTCCACCACTGACACCAGGTCTATCCCATGTACCTCCTCTCCCGAATGGGAATTCATGTAATACCATTGCTCTTGTACCCAGTTTTATGCCAGCGAGGTGCTGATGTCTCGGTACAATATCCATGAACTCAGATAGCTTGATCCAGAAGACGTGTTTCAGGTCAAAGAACTTAGGGCGTGTTTCTTCGTCAAAGCTGTAGACTTCGGTAGGGGAGAGAAGAGAGGGAGGGATAGCTTGGGACATAGGATTGCGTAATTGGCGCCAGAGGGAGCCTTGGTGGTTCATGGTGGCAGGGAAGCGGGTCCAAGCGGTGTCTGCGGTGTGTATTAGGCTGGCTGCAAGTGTGAGATTAGATACGAGACTTACATTGCGAAAGCTCCAGATCCTTGATGGCCAATATTGGCGCAGCCTGGATATTCGCAATCCACCTCTCCTCCGCCATCTGTGGCTCACAACCAGGATCCAGCTCCTGAGTCGTGACTGTCCGCAACGGTAGCCATTTGGCAACCTCCTTCGCAGTCCTTGTATCCTCCGGACTTAGCTCGGCGGCTCTCCTCAAGCCATTGGGTAGGGATTGTCGACGAAGTCGCTCAGCCTCCTCTTGTGCTTGCATGCGACGTTTGCTCTCACGTTCTTCGAACTCTCGGCGCTTACGTTCTTCATTTTCTTTGCGTAATCGGTCCTGCTCCACTTTCCGTTGCTGCATCTCATCGTCCCGCTTCTTCTTGGCGATACGGTTCTCCTCCTCTTCTCGCTCCATTTGTTGTTGTCGCTGGTCCTCTTCAGCTTGACGTTGAGCCTCGAGGCGGGCGTCCTCTTCATCCCGGGCAACGCGGGCTTTTCGTTCAGCTTCCTCCACCTCAGCTCGAGCTTTCCGTTCGAGCTCGGCTTCAGCCTGCCGTCGCTTCTCAGACTCTATTTCTTCAAGTCGCTCCTCCTCTTCCTGTGCAGCTTGGCGCTCACGCTCACGGTCTAGCCTTTCTTGACGCAACATATCTTCTTCCACTTGTTTCTGTGCTCGCATATCGTCTAGATCTGGTTGTTGTTGTTGTGAAAGCGCTTGATCTATACTGTTCACAGGCGAGATAAGTGTGGAATGTATTCTAGACTCGATTGGAGATTTTGTCACAGGCGAAGCAGTATTGCTACCCATAAATGCTACCGGCGCCGTACCTTGAGACACAGTAGGAGATGGGCCAGCTGTAGGGCTCGCGATCATGTTTGCTACCATCGCCGGCCCCGGTCGAAATGAGCGATCACGATCTTGGTCGATTGCGTTGCCTTGGGAGTCAACTCGTCGTTTCTTCTTTCTGACCGCCTCTGTCGTCCCAGGTAGATCGGTCTTGCTGGCTCGTGGGCTAACACTCATACGATGACGCTTCTTCCCAAGTTCGCTCTTGACATTTGTCGGCTCTTCGGACGATGCCTTGCTGATCTTCGCGGTAGATTCGGAGGCGTCACTCGACTTCCTCTGTCGCCCTGAGATGGAGTCACCTGAAATGCGTCTGGTTGAATCATCCCTTGCTTCGGCAACTTGACTTGCCCTCTGTTTTAGATCTTGATCAGTCTTGAAATCGTTGCCAGACATCAATCTGCGCTTAGGTTTTAGACTGTCTGCACGATTGATTGCAGGACGTGCAATGTCACTATTTGATTTCCTCTCTTTGTGCTTAGGCTTCGGAAGTCCCAAAGCATCTGAGTCTCGATCCGACGCGATGGCTGAGTCTTGTTGCTTTTTGAGATCATCTCCCAGATGTCTTGATCCTGTTCCCTTGTGTGAAGAATCCTTTCTGACCCCTTCCATTGGATCATCGTCTGGTGAAGGCTTAGTCTTCCGTACCTTTCTCGAGTCACGCGGAGAAGAGGACGGCTCAGAAGAATGCTTATTCGAGTCGGCTCGCTTCGGGCGGACCTTGCGTGGCGAGTTGTTGTTGCTTCTACGGCCTCCATTTGGTCTGTAGTTGTCATACGCCTCTTTCAGAATATCGTTTTCTTCTTGCCATTCTGAGCCCTGTCTCTCTTTCGATATCTCGTAGTATGTAAGATCTCTAAAACGCCGACGAGTTGGATCGAAGCCAGGCTGGCTCAACAGCAACTGTATCACGCTGATATTGCCCCGGCCAATCGCCGCCAACATTGGAGTGCTATAAGCAGGCTTATACTCTCCTGAGCGTAAAGGTTCAGGGTCCGGATCCAGGTTCCCAATAGCCATCATCAAATTGAGTACCCCATCGTGTCCACCTCGCGCTGCCGCAAGGACCGCTTCAGTGTCGACCTTGGGACGCATCTTGAGAATGTGATCCACGATAGTCAGATCTCCTTTTCCAGCGGCATCGCGAAGTCTCTCTGGGGTTGGGTTGACCCATAAAAGTGCATCGTCGGTCGGTTGGCTCCTTGCCGTCCTTCTTCTTACTCCTAGGGCCGGGGGAGGTGGGCTCCTCGTGGGACTGGCACCTGAAGCACCCGTCGAAGATATTTCAACATCTCTTGAGCCCGTACTATGCCTGTGGTGGTCCTCTGAGGGTCTTCGTAAAGATTCTTTCTCCCTTTTGCTTGCCATCAGGGTTTCCCGTATGTCCTCCGCTTCCTCATCCTCGGCTGGGATCAATTCCAAAGGCTCTTGTCCCTTCGCATTCTTTTGTCTTGGGTCCAGTCCCGCCTTGAGCAGTAGCCTTACCACCTCTAGATGTCCGTTCTCAACCGCGTCGATGAGAGGCGTGTCTTTGTCGATATTCTTGGAAGTGGTGTCGCAGCCAGCGTTCAAGAGAAGTTGGACGACCTCAACATCTCCCTCGAGGGCGGCAATCTGTAATGGTGTGTTTCCGGCGTTGTCGGGAACATCAATATCCTGCGGTCTTTCCTTCAACCATTTCTCTGCTTCACAAGCATCCTGGGCACAGGCCCTGGCAAGTAAAGTCCGCCCACTCCGGTCCCGGTTCTTCTTACTTGATATTGGCATCTTAGCTGGTGACATTGCGTGGCCGTCGGCGGAAGTGATCTTCTGCAGGTGATGACGACTGTGAACGGAGCTGCTATCATCAGAATCAGGGTGAGTATCTTCAGAGGCCTTTCTTCGACGCTCCACGTGTAAAGGCGCTGGGACTTTTCTTCGCTTGGTCACGCCGTTGGGGTGAGAGATTGTTGATTGTATAGATTGTGCCCTGTGGTTGTTACGTGCAGGTGGAGATTCAGATCGATGAGCGGGTCCGTCATAATGTGTTGCACTTCGAGTTTCGCGTCGCTTTCGTGAATTCGCCAGTCCAGCTTCTCGATCACTCTTCCCTGCTTGGTGACGACTGTGGCCGCTGTCACTCCCACTCCTTTGTTTCTTAACCCGTTCTTCCAGCTGTGGAGCGACCTCTTCAAACGGAGGAGATGATCGCGATCGATCGGACGCACTTTCAGTTGCCTTAGAGGAATGGACTGCTTGAACTGGTGATGAAATGGTAGAGCTGAGGTTGCTCGAATTTCCGGTATCTGGAACATCACCACTCCCATTTGTTGGTATCGTTCTTTTCCGTTTCAACGATGGCGTACGACCATTGTTTTCTCTACGTCCTTCACGCTGGTCTTCTCGTATTGTTGGGAGGTTGTCCGATGGCCCATTGGCTACAGGATCTGCTACGCTGGCCTCTTCCAGCTTGATAGCCTTCCTCGTCATTTGTTCCTCACCCTCCTCTTTTCCAGACAAAACCACCGTCTCTGCTTCGGAATCGCTCTTGTCCATTGCCGAATTTCCATTACTGCGATTGATAGGCGTTCCATTGATATGTGCAATAACAGGAGACGGTGCGTTATCTCGAGGGTCCAAAGCCGCTGGAGCCGCTGCTACATTGTGGGATTGCTCAGCCTGGTCTGTTTGTGTCACAACCTCACCAGAGTCAACAGGCTTCGATATCGCCAATGGATCATCGTTCATATCGATCTCTCTCTGTATCTCGCCAGAATGAATCTCATGTTGGGCCGTTGTGCCTTCGAGTCCCTGTTGCCTTGTCCTATGCGCAGACAAGCAACCAACCGGTTTTCCCTTTCCAACGTGAGGCTATCGATACGCTCAACCGACAGTAATCTTTTCTTCGATCCTAGCTTCGAATGGGTTTGGCGACTATGGAAGTTGTTCCTTTCAAGGCTGCTTTGAGGTTGTGATGTTTGCAATTGATTGTTGAGATTCTCCGGTCGCAATTCTTTGGGGACTTGCCTCTGGCGGAATGGGGGCGGCAACTTTTGCCGAGTTTTTAGCATGAAACTGAGGGGCTGCTCCCCCTTTACTTTGCCAATACAAGCTGGATCGCAGCACTCTAACACTCCTACGACAAAATCATTACTAACATCACGCCTCGATCTTCTTACGCGGGCAGTCACTTCCTGTTCGACCGGGATACCCGAAATGCACGACTCTCTCCAATACTGGACTCAGACAGCGCACACCGAACCAGAAGCCCAAGCCCAAGCTCTTGCAGCTAGGATTGGCCTCGAAATTCCCCAAGGCACCACGCGTGGCTTTCAATCGGGCCTGGGAAGAGGAAGCTCTAAGAAAAATCCGAGATCTCAATAGGATGTGCGAGGAGCAGGGCATTTGAATAGCATTCGGAACATAAAGTGGAATGCATAGGATCTTCGGCATCGAATGCTCTCCTGGTATCAAGCACCAAGCGAGAATGACTCCCCGCTAGATCTGAATTCTTGCCAGTCGAATGGAGAATTGGAACAGCCGGACAAGAAGTTGCAGTCAAGTCGGTACAACCTAATTGGACATTAGGTATTTAATGCATTCCAGAGCAATGAACAGTCCCGCTAGAACAACGGAACAGACGTGTGTCGAATGGTCACTCTGTTTCGCAACACCACTCCAAGGTCCAACAATATCCTGAGAATCTCAGCTTGCTCTACACTCAAGGCCCCATTACACTTTGTCCGCATGTTTTCCCTCACTTCAGCCTTTGACCCATCTCGGAATAAAGGTCATACTGGATCACATGCTTCGCTCTTCCTGTCTCCTCATCAAAGACCTGACACCCTTCTGTCGCAGCGTTCGGGGGAGCATACACTTGGCGTGTCAGCTCCGCACACAAGTGCAAAAAGCACAGCGTCTGGACTTACGATGCAGAGATACGGCATATTCCTCGGGGTCAGGATTCATGATTTTGTGAAGCCCGTGCTATATCCTGTATCAGCCGGCTTCATCAGAATGTTCCCAGCCGACACGACTGACATTGTCCGAGATATAGGCCACATCATCTCGACTCAACAGTGTTGATTTTTGAACCTGCAGAGGCGAATGCTGCCGTTCTTCGGTCACCTTTCGCTCTGGCCACTTGTATTGTGTCTCTTTCAATGATCCTTGAAGGATTTTCATCACGCAATGTGAACCAGTATGATCATGTACCGGGCTTTCCTTGCCTGGAGTCCAGACTAAAATGAGCTGCAACATCATAGTCAGATCTGCTACGCCTGTCATCCCACGTGCCAACGTACGATGTTACACTTGCCGGCACCGCGTTCAACCATGTTCCTCGTGAAACACAGACCCCCATCCCCATGAGCGTATTTCGCCCAATCCAAACGTTCTGAGCGATACTCTTCCATCCGTTGGATTACGGCGTTCGGATCGCAGATTTCCGAGAAAGCTAAACTTTGTGCTGTATCCATGTACCCGCTGAGCTCCTGGACGAGGCTTTGGAATCCATCAAGCTTTCGACCTTGTGCGTTCGTTGAGGGCTTTTCGGCGCTCTTGATGATATCAGTCATGTTGAAGTCGTACAATCTGTCGATAATGCAGTTCAGCAGCTCGGCAGATTGGAATAGCGCTGCAATAGTGCTATGAAAGGACCAGGAGTAACTCTGTTATTATATCACTGATCATTTGCGAGTAAAGTGCATTGGTGCGCCTATGTGCATAATATAGGTTCCAGCCAGCAGATGCGCTGTGCAGGATGGAAGGGGGAGATTAGCAGCAGGGTTTCCAACAGGCAAGAGCCGCGGGTACTCGTATTCACTAGGATTTGCAATCTTTAAAACCTAATTCCTATAATTTATTATTTCACAACAATATAATTAAAAACTAGAAAAAAAAATACAAAATATACAAAATATAATTATTAGAATTTTAATTTTTTCTATAGTCGAGCTTAGATTGATAAAGTTATATAATAGTATATTGAGATATAATTATTAAAGTTTATTACGCTATTATATAAATTAATTATTATTACCTCTATTTTAAAAACTCTTAAAACTATAAAAATTGTATTTTATATTCTCGTAGGGTTTTTTTCAAGTCTTTTATCATTATGTTATAGAATAATGAATTATAAAGATTAAGTTTTAGAGAATGTAAATCCTAGTAGACTGCAAACCCTAGTGAATACGAGTACTCGTATATACCCGGAAGTGCCCGATACCTGATAATGCATGGTCTAAAATCCACTTATAAAAAACCCAAAAAATTAAATGATAGAATGTGAGATAAGGTTTCTAGAGCTTCAAGAATCTTGTAAATCGCAGTTGTATTGATAACGCTGTATATTAGTGTAATAAAATCTATCTGAATCCTGTAAGCCCTACGCCGCGGTAAGCCCGGGGTGAGTTTTCGGGAGGGTATCCCCCAAAACTCACCCCCGGATTCGTCGGATTTAAGACCGTGCATTACCAGGTATCGGGCACTTCCGGGTATATACGAGTACCCGTTGCCAATCTCGGGGATAATGCCTTGATGCTGTCAATAATTAGGTAGCACGGGTAGGTACAGTAGGCACGCTGGACATGAAGAGTTACCCATTCTTTACATTCCCTACAGTCAAACATCGATATTGGAATCTTGCTCTATCTCCTGGCTACATAAACAAAATTCTTGAGATGGGAGCTTGGCTTGTCGCTTGGAGGAAACGGTTTGCGTTTTATGCCAAGCCTGTCAGCAGGAAGTAGCTTATGGTATATGATGACTGTATGAGGCAGCTGCACTATATAGCTGGCCCATGCGTATTCGCAAAAGATGATACAATTCGAGGATCACATCACTTACTCGTGTACTCAATGCGTTGCCTCTTTCTCGCGTCCTGGCAAATGTATGTAATACTCACTAGTCGCTCAACTCGGCGATAGGAGTTCAATCACTAACAAAAATGAAAACCTCCATCCTCGAACCCATCCCAAATATGCAAAAAAGCTCAGGCAGCAAGCTTGGGGATCTTTTTAAGGACGAAAACCCCATTCATACCACGTTTCCCAGGGCACCACTTCCCAAGGACAATGAGTTGCGTGGATGCTCTCGAAGTCGTTCTTTCCATAGGCGTTTCGAGTACGGAGATCGAGACCATCATTTCACAATCTCAACCACTCCCTTCGTCGTCCCATTCCTCGTCCACCGGACCGTCCCATTCCTCCCTCCACCAGCGTGCACCGCATCAGCCCCCATCTCCCCAACCCCGACCAAGCCCACCACTCCATCCCAGATCCGGAACTCGCTCGCTCTATACCTACCCCTCAGGTAGAGCCCATTGTACAGCCCCGCCGCGGCGCCTTCCAGGAAGCTCCAGGTCAGATGCCGCCCTTGGGCCGAGCGGGCCGCGATGAAAGCGCCGTAGCCCTGGTTGTACACGAACGGGTCCTGGGATGCCGGGAGCACGCAGTCGCCTGTGGAGGCGATGGTGGAAGTGATGTGGTCGTAAGCCGAGAGGATGGTGACGGACATGACGGCCGGAGGGAGGGGGGGACCGAGGATGAAGTGGATGGTGGTGCTGCGGTCTTGTCAGTCGTTTGCTACGTAGGTTCCTCACGTGGTTACGTGTGGTGCTTACGTCGTGCCGGGGATCGGGTAGTCGACGATCTCTACGGCATCAGGTCGAAGGTCGCTGGAGGGTTGAGGATGCCTGTGAATTTGTAAGGTAAATGATTCAGCGGTCGTGTTTGCTGAAGCTGGGGCTGCCGAGCCTGTTGGAAGGTTTCGGAGCCAGAGGAGAGTTAGGAGCACGATGAAAACGTCCATAGCAGAGGTTGACGGTTTATTGAAGTTTGCAAAGGTTTTAGTATTGGCGGCATTTTCAAATAGGTTGGTAACATAATTGGAACAAATTGATAAGAGACTTTGTCGGCAAAACAGGTGGACACGCGGCTGAAAATTGAAGCTTTAGAAATCAGGTTACAGCACATTCGAGACGTAGGGAATGGTGCAGATGAGAACTTGGCAAGAACTTTTGCGCTTGATTAGTATTTAAAGAGAAATGGAGGACGCGGGACAGTGCCATGCATCAGGTGAAGTGCGACGGCAGAATTGTTCCCGAGGCGGTTGGTTTTCGCGCTCCACCAGAAGAGGCAGGGCTCTCCCTCTGGCGAGCCGCTCCAGATATGTCATAATAAGAAGACCAGTCGCATTTGTGGGGGCGCATATGGTACAGCGAACACTGACATCCGCACTCCAAATGCACAATGAAGCATAGAAACTCGTCGGTTGAGCATGTGCTAGTCAAAGCCTATTGATATCCGTAATCTAGCGAGCACAGCGAGTGATGAGCACCTGAGCCTTTTGCCTTGGAACATCGGCCATCAGCCATGAAGCCTGCAGCATTCTTGATGAATGAAGGGAACAAGAAGTGGTGGCTGCATCACTCGAGGTATTTCCAGCGGTCGCGAGGGTGCTCCGGGCATGCATTGCGCATAGAGACAAGCCTCGCTCAACCTCCGTGGCACCTTTCTCGAGCCATACAATCTTTCATTGCCTCACTCGTAGCTACCATTTCCAGCGAAATGCCACGAAACTTCCGCAAGAACCAGCTCTCAGCAACGTCAACGCGAGCGCAACCATCTTCCAATTTTTCTACCATTGGCTTCCGCGAGGCGTGGGTCTTCAGCTGGACCTGTCCTCCATGACTGAATGTTTTCACCACAACAGATGCAGCAAGGTCACTCTTGAACACTACATCGGCAATACAGATATATGCAGGGTCAGCCTCTGGCATATTGGAATGCTGTAAAAAATTCAACTGGCATCACTTGTATTTCTGACTGTTTGAGCAACTCTAAATTTTCACCTGAAGCAGACTGTATGGTTGGACACTCTGCCATGGAGACACTTAACAGATCTTTGAGGAGAGTGGCGCGACGCGTGTGCATGGACACATAATCGAGATGCTTTTGCAGCTCATCATCTCAAAGCGCATGCCAGAGCACGGAGAGAAGCTGCGCTAAGGTGATCTTCTTGGTTTTGGCCCACTGTTCGCAGATCAGTGCAAAAGGATCGCCACTCCCAATCTTGGTGGCTGCGGAGGTGATGACTGCATCCAGATTATCGACCGCGAGATTGGCATGGGTGTCCAATTGACAGTACTGTCCACGAAAATGGCTGTACAGAGGGTAAATCCTCTCAGTATTCCTTTCGCTTACAATTTCTTTGGCTATGTAAAGCCTGCTGGATCTTTTATTGGGGGCAACTTCGAGACGCTGATTCCAGATGTGAGACGGAACCACTTCAAGCAGTCTTCAGGTGTGGTGGGTAGGCCCTCAACGAAAAGAGTTGGTGGGTTGTGGACCGAGATCAAGTACTCCATGTCCCGCCACGCTACCGGTAGAAGGTTGGACTTCCTTGCTGCGTTGTATAGGTGGGCGGTTGACAATATGGTCTTGTAGGTCATTGCAAGGGCGACCCCCAACTATCGACTTTCGATTTCACTTCAGTAAGTCAGTAAGCCGCAAAGGATGGTATGATGTTTGAGTAGGTAGAATGGTGGCACATCAATTCCTTCGTCTTGGGCGTTTATTTCGATAGCTTTTTGACCGTCTTCGTAATGAAATGTTTTTGACCCAGTCGTTCACGAGGCTAACGAATGTCACAGTCCCACCGTTTTGTTTCTGGTGCCAGCCCTCTCGTCGACTATGACACTTCCTTGATGATATCTGAGGCAGCAAAACTCTTTCGGGAGGAATTCTAAGTCGCGAGACATGTCTTTAGGAGCAGAGAAATCTTGAAACATGTCTGATGGCCCACAAAACAGCATGAATGGGGAAGAATGGCCTCGGAAAGTATAACGTACTCGATTCTCGGAGGTATTGCCAAACAGTATCCGTCCCCTGACTACTTGCGGCGGTGAGATCCTGAAGTCCGTGATGCATGTGTGCTCACAGAAGCCACTTGATATCCACCATAAGCTGGATAGCAAACACAAGCCACAATGAGATGTGTTGATTGGTCTCAAAGTCTCTGAAGTAGCGGGTGATCTCGTGCGTCGTCGAAGGCTGGATTGTTATAACCTTGTTGAACACAGACGACACCGAGCACGCAAGGCTGATGAATCTTCGGTCCTCTTCGAGCTTGTCTTTCGCCAACATCTCCTCGCGCGCTCTGCTCCAGTCTCAGGTATCGTACCCGTACCAAATCATCTTACGGGCCTAGAGACTGTACAAATCCTCTTCAGGAAAACAGGAAACAGGCCAACTGATTCTCTAGGTTTGCTCGTAAGTCTTCATGTGAATATAGTTCCCTGGATTTCGCGATCCGTGATACCTTCCTCGCAGATAGGCGCCTGAAAGCAGTAGATGAAGTCCATTTCGTCAGGGGCATCAGGCCAATGCTTGATCGAATCTAGGTGCTCTTTTGTGCTACACTGAACCATGTAGATAGCCATATTAGTCAATAACGAAGCAGAAGAAAAATCCGTGCGCACTGCTCGGTACTCTGACCATGTCTTGCGTATGACTTCAAAAATTGCTTCGAGATCTCAGAAAAATACAATGGATGAAAACAGAACCTCATCGTAGAGAGATGCCTTGGTGTGATGGATACCGACAATGATGGACTCGGGCTGTCGACCGCATCGTTGGGCTCTTCGAGGCTCAAGGCTTCGAAGATTTTGGCTGCTACCTTTCCCTTTGGATCTCTGTTCTCCTTTTCATCGCGCTTCTCTTTTGGCACTTCACGGTCTTGTTGGCGTAGGATGTCTTTGACTTGCTGAAGGACGTTGACAAAATGAAGGTGGCTTCCATTCTAGGCCCGTGATACCCCAGCTCCTTGATCCACCCAGTGGGAATACTCCTTGCGAAGTGAGATGACATTATCAAGAAGAGCAAGAATGTTAGAGGGCGCCTGGATCGTTTGCTTTGTAGACTTGACAACGATCTCTGCTAGTTAATAGAGTCTCGGATTGGTATAAGGTACATACTCTCTTCTGTCTAGGCCGAGGCGTTCACAGCGGCTTTACCCGCCTTCTTCTTGGCCATGTTAAGGAGACTTTGCCCACAATTCTGTACAGCTTCAATAAGCCATGTTGTGAACTTTGTGATTCCCGACTTATAACGCTTGTAAGGTAAGTATTAAATCAGAGGTCTGCATCCATGATGATCCTTAGCTCGCCCCAGCAAGTAGGCTCATTGGCTATCGTGGTTGGTCGCCGTTAGAACGTCGAGCTAGAGTCACAACTAAAGTGACCAGGAGAACAAGTCTGATGGATGAACTTCGGGGTTTTCAGCAAGGCTAACTATTCGGCTCTTGGCAGCGGACATAGTTTACCCCCCCCACCCCACATTCTTCAACCTTCTCCAGACTTTTTCGAGAAGATTCGTAGAGAAGTATTACTTGCAGCAGATACTCAAAATGGCGACCACTGTGGATAAGGTGCATCTCATTTTTGTGAGAAGGCGAGCCCCTTTGCTAACAGGCTCTTGCACAGATCAAGGACATCGAGGCCGAGATGGCCAAGACGCAAAAGAACAAGGCTACGAGCTACCATTTGGGTCAACTGAAGGCCAAGCTCGCCAAACTAAAGCGGGAGCTTCTTACACCACAGTCCAGCGGAGGTGGTGGAGGCTGTAAGGAACACCAAAGGTCTGAAGAGGAAGCACGGTTCTAACTGCTGACAGCTGGATTCGACGTTGCCCGGACGGGCGTTGCTAGTGTTGGGTTTATAGGCTTTCCATCCGTTGGCAAGAGTACGCTCATGAGTAAATTGACGGGGCAATTTTCAGAAGGTCGGGCGTGCTGCGAGATGAAGGGAGTGCGGGCATGCTAACGCTTCTGCAGCGGCTGCATACGAGTTCACTACCCTGACCACTGTACCTGGCCAAGTCCAATACAACGGCGCTGCTATTCAAATGCTCGATCTACCGGGTATCATCCAAGGAGCCAAGGATGGCAAAGGTCGAGGTCGTCAGGTCATTGCTGTTGCCAAGACGTGCCATCTTATTTTCATTGTCCTCGACGTCAACAAACCCCTCACTGACAAAAGAGTCATCGAGAACGAGCTCGAGGGTTTCGGTATCCGAATCAACAAGGATCCGCCAAACATTGTCTTCAAGAAGAAAGACAAGGGTGGCGTCAGCATCACGAACACGGTCCCGTTGACCCATATCAGCCATGAGGTTGCTCTTCCTTCGCACGCTGATAGAGCCAAGCTGACGTTGTCGGGTAGGAAATCAAGGCAGTGATGGGCGAGTACAAGATCTCATCCGCTGATATTGCCATTCGCTGCGATGCCGAGATCGATGACCTGATTGATATTTTGGAGGCGAAGAGCAGGAGCTATATCCCTGTAATATATGCCCTCAACAAGATCGACTCCATATCGATCGAGGAGCTCGACCTAATATACAGGATCCCCAACGCGTGTCCCATCAGCGCTGAGCACGGCTGGAATGTCGACGAGCTGTTGCAGCAAATGTGGGAGAAGCTTCAGCTCCGGCGTATCTATACGAAGCCGAAGGGCAAGTCTCCGGACTATAACACGCCTGTCGTATTGAGGAAGAACGCTTGTAGCGTCGAGGATTTTGTAGGTGATGCTGTCTTGTTCATCGGTCTGTGCTGATAACAAGTCAGTGCAATGCTATTCACAAGACTATCGTGGAGCAGTTCAAGCACGCGATCGTGTATGGACAGTCGGTGAAGCATCAACCGCAGAGGGTGGGTCTATCCCACGAGCTTGCCGATGAGGATATCAGTAAGTGTCCAAAAGAGCCATCCGTGTCTCATTCTCATAGTTGCAGTCACGATCATAAAACGAT